CCGGGATGATGCCACAATACTGACTAAGGTCCTGGGTCAGAGACCAGTATTAGCCCACTTAGCAAAATTAATTTGCACAGCCCAGCCCCTCTCTCCTCTGTTGCTTTCTTCTCGCCTGGCTCAGAGCCCTCAGTCTAAGGAGGGCAGTGACCCACCGCCATATGGCCTGGCTTCCAGTCATTCCCCTGTGCCCTGGACTTAGGCTCTCTATGCTCCCTGCAGGCAAACTCTCCATCTTCAGGCCTTATCCTTAATCCCTATCAGCCCCATGGACCAGCTGGGTGTTTGCCACTCCATGTGCTGGAGTATGGGGGGCAAAGAGAGCATCTGTCCAAGGGGCTTTAGCAGGAGCTTGCAATGCATGGGTAGTGTCCTGGGTTGGCTGAGCTCTCCTCCAGCCTGCCCTGGTTCAGAAAGCATTCCCGGGCTGCTCTGGGAAGGGTCACTTTTGGTAGCAAGTGGAGCCCAAAAAGATGTTGCATTGCTTGAGGCTGGGAGAATTCATCTGAGGAGGCTTCGGGGTGCTTCAGCCCCACAAACTTAGCCCCCTGTCAGGAAGAGACCTTGGGCTTTTGCAGTGTGGCCCTTTTAACAGTCTCAGCATCCAGGGCAGGCCAAGAACCACTGGAGTAACATGTGATGCAGGCTGCCAAGGGCTTTCCCTCGATATGCCCAATGTCAGGGACATGGCAGGCTTCTCAGACTACGGGGCTTGTAAGTCTAGGGTGTCCAACCCTCAGCACGCAGTCCAAAAGCCTACCTGTGCAGCAGGGGATCTCCTAGAAGAATGGGAAGGTGGCATAACGGTCACAAAAAGGAGCATTTCCAGCCTTTTATTTGTGCTCTTCTAATGTTTCCTGGAAACAGGTAGAGCTCTTTTGCCTGGTTTTGAGTAACCAGGTGTAGCCTCCTACCTCACCAGCACAGCCATCCCAATCAAGCCCCATGGCTGAGGTTGGCAGGTCACAAAAGCAGAAGTCAGGGCAGATAGACACCAGTTGGCATCAAGGCAGCAAAGAGGCAACCTCTGCCTGGCTATTCCTCTGAACTTGCCCTGCCTGGTTTCTCTTTGTGCAGGAAAGTGGTGGAGCTGCCCAAGAGGCGATTCATCCCCATAGACCGGATCGGCATGAACCGCCTGGCCAACACCAAGGGTTAGCAGACCGGCAAGTAAGTGGAGCTCCGCAAAGGGAAGTTCAGGAGTGCGGTGGGTTAAAATCACAGGGCCAAGATCTCCTCCTGGTTGCAAGTATGCAATTCAACCTCCCAAGCTGCAAGGTCCTAAAAACACCAGAACTGGCAGCGACGGGGTCAGACCAGGTCCATCTTGCCCAGTCTCCCTTATTGCACAGCATCTCTCTTCTAAACTGGACAGGCCTGGCCTCATTAGTCTTGCCCCATGTGGAAGCCCCTCCATACCACTCGTTATCCTTGTTGCCCTTCTCTGGACCTTCTCCACTTCTTCTATCTCCTTTTCCAGGTGTAGGGACCAGAACCAGGCACCATAGTCAAGGTGTGTACACACCATGTATTTATAAAAGGGCATCACAATACTTTCCATGTTGTTTAAAATTCCCTTAATAATCCTGAACTTTAATTTCCCCTTTTGATAGCTGCTGAGCCTTGAGCTGGTATTTTTTTGTGAATGGGCTGTAATGATCCCCAGCTCCTATTCCCGTGCAGTAGCGGCCAATGTGGAGCCCATGACAGTGTAGGTGGAGTTTGGGAGATTTTTGCCCATGTGTATCACTTGACATTTATCTACATTGAATTGCATGTAGGTCATCTTGTATAATATTTTCTTTCCCTCTGTGCATTTAATTCTAATGCCAGAGGTTAGGGATTTGTAACGTGCATGACAAAGCTAGTTCTCTGAGCTTTGTCTTCCCTGGATCATTCTTGAGTTTCGTCCTCCAGATCGTTGAGGAGAATTTAAATATCATTGCTTTTATTTCTGCAGAGGCATCTGAAAGATGGATGTGACGTTGGGAACGTTGCAGAAACTCGGAGGATGCTTCCAACCGCATTTTGTCATTGATTAACGGTTCGACATTTAAGGAATTGACTTCATGCAAAATCTGTTTCACATTGCCTTTTCCAAGCGGTAACAGATCCAATCCATCAGATCAGACCTTCCTCGCAGCTGCTTTCCGTTCCACTGGTAAAGGCAACAGAAAATATGTGTATATAATTTCATTGCATGGCAATTTTTTTTTTTTTAATTTGCACGAGTTCATTATCCCTGCAAGGACTATTAGAATTTTTGGAGAAAAATAAAACTTTTAGAGACACCAAAAGGTGTCCATGAGCAGCTGGCACCTTTTGCTTTGCACGTTTAATTTAACGGGGACGTTTGGTCGGTAGATTTTGGGGCAGCTAAATGAAAGAGTTAGCCATCCTGGGGACAACGGCGGTTTTTACTCAGGAAAAGCTTCTATGGATGTGAATAGGAGTTTGCCTGAATAAACGCCATGTAATATCTTAGGGATTGGCTTGTAGTGATCTTTCCTGCCTTGTTCATTTGTTTGGGAGACACCGACCTGCTGCAGGGGTCTTCCCTTCCTATGCCTCTCAGCTGATTATCCTGCTTCCACCCCTCTTGTGCCGTTTGAGGGGTGAGGTGGAGATTTGAGGTCCCTGGAGGGCACCTGGCGGGAGATTTGGGGGCAATAGTGGGCAACGAGGAGGGCCACCCACCCTGTGAAACGTAAACTGGAATAAAGATGAGCCTGCTTCTCAGCTTTGGGGTTGGCATCATGCTCTGGTCGTCCCCAGCGCTCGGCAAGCTTGATTTGGGGAGTTGGGTCTATACTGTATAATCAGTCATTTGAGCAGCTCAAACCTGGACCTAGACTCCGGGGGTGGTTTATAATAGTGCCTCAATGGGAATAATGGCATCAATTAATTTGGGAAGGAGGCTGTGTGCATACAGGATAGCAAGGGGCAGGGAATGGCAAAGGTCATCTCTACGAGAGTTAGAGAAATAGATTGTATCAAAGCACAATGTCCAGCTTCAGGCAAGGGGGCTGCAGCCTGGGGGAGAAATGAGTTTGGTACCAGCCTCCCAATCTCCTCAACTGCAAAGAGAGCACAACATGATGCCTGTGAGAGAGCTGAGGGTGCAGGGAGAGCCTGTGGCCAACTGTCTGATTAGGGCCAGGCTGTGGGATATGCGTCCTTGCAGGCCCCATCCTCCTCCCTGACCCCACAAGGCTGTCACAAGCCGGGTGCACGTGAGACGTGTCTGCTGCAAGCTCAGGGACATTTTGGTTTTGTAAAAATTCTCCATTTTGATCATGTCTGAGCATCTCCCCAGCCTGTACCCATCACCCTCCAAGCTGGGTGCTCAGGCATGGGGCTGGCATGCCACGCAACTGGGCTGCCCCTGTACCTGCATGCAAGCAGCACTCAAGGGAGATCTGATTTGCCTCTCTGTGGGCACGTCTATACGTGCATTTATGTGCATCTAAACTTAATACGCCTTTGCTTAAGATGCATTAGGAGAATTTAGGCACACGTCTACATGTGGATATGCTAATGAGCATTAAGGCACATTAAATTTAGGCATGAATAGTTAAGTCACATTAGCGCATGTGTAGATGCACTAATGTGCATTAACACAGTGCGTATCCATTGACACACACCACATTAATGTGCATTAGCACCTCTACGTGTGTGCTAATGTGACTTAGCTATTAGCACCTAATAGCAGGCATCAAATTTAGGCTCAATATAGCTTTAAATTCCCATTATTAAGATGCATTAAAGGCACACATATGCCCTTAATGCACCTTAATAATGGTGATTTTAGGCTAAGCCTACTAAAAAGAGGAAAGTGTAGATGCGCCCCCGTGTGTTTCAGAGCAATAAGGTTCCAGGCTGGAGAGCAGTCACTTGCCCAGAGAGGAAGTCCCTACCTCATGCAAGGGGCTGGTTTATGGTCTTTCTGTTCCCTGTGACCAGCCCTTTCCAAGAGGAAGGGCCAGCCCACAGCTTGCCATTGCAAAAGGGAGACAGAGGGGGGCTTTCTGCCTCCTTAGCTTATGTTTCGCACCCCCACGGTCACTGCTGGATAGTCCCCCAAGCCCAAACTCTGTAGGCTGCCCCAGGTGTATAAGGCCATAGGGATTCAAGGCACTGCCAGAAAAGAGCCAGCAACAAACTCAGCTGCAGAGACCACAGGCTGAGCTGGCTGGTGACAAGATCCCAATGACCTCTTCCACCCTAAAATCAATGAACTTTGTCGCATTTGCCTGCACACCCCAACAACCACCCTATAGGATCTCTCCAATGCCACTCCATCCATGAAGGCTAATAGTGCAATTGTTACAGCTTCACGTTGCGCTTGTGAGTCGTGCGGTGTGATGGGAAGCAGATGGGGCACAGCTGGGCTTGCGGACCTCAGCTCAAATCCACTGCTCTGGTCATCAGAGATAATCAGCTTGTTGCCCACCAAGCTGGGAACACTGGGTATGGGGCAATGGGCAGAAAAGGCCGAACGCGTTTCCAAGGACCAGAGAGAGCTCCCTGCAGAAAGGGCTGTGTCTGCTGCTGTTGCCATGATAGGAGCTGGCACATGAGGCACATTTCCACGTGCACACCACATGCATATGCATAACCCTGCGAAACGCAGAGAGCTAGCGGTAGGAGTGGCACGTGCTTTGGGAGTGATCAGCTTGCTGCCCACAGCTCCTTGGCGGCGTGTATCAGATGCAGCATTGTCAGAGGTATAGGTCCCCTGCTAAAGGAGCCTATAGGGGACCTTGCCGCTTCCAGCATAGGCCCGAAGCCAGGGAGTGCAGAGAGGAGAGTAACTGGTGTTTTGGAGGAACGGGTCTTCATGCAGACCACAATCCAAGCCATGACCAACGACATGATATGGCCGGCTGGGATCGGAGGCATCTGTTGAGTGAGACCCCCTTGCTGCACCCATAATGAACACCCTCCCCAGTCCCTGCACCTTCTTTGCAAAGAGAAAGGAAACCCCCAGGATGCCCGTGCAATAGAAATGGGTCTTTCCTCTTTATTGAGTGATATCCAGCGGCTCCGTTCTGTGCCTTTTCTCCCCACCCCGAGGGAAACACTGAAGGATGCATACAGTGCACACGGACAGGACTCGCACACAGACGCATCAGGGCTGCCAGCCCGTGGGCCCCCACACCGCGCTCAGCCCACCGGTGCCAGCTCCAGGCCCATCACCCTCCTGGACATGGGTTGCTGCTGTCAGGTGGGGAAGGGGCGCAGGGATCCCTGACACCACCATGCCCAGCTCTTGCAGAGGGCAGGAGCTGGCTGGGCATCCTCCCAGGGCTCGGAGGGATGGGGGGCATGGGGGTGAAAGGAAGCATGGAGCAGTGCTGGAGGAGGCAGGGAAACCCAGGGAGCACACTAAAAAACAAAGCAAGGCAGAGCTGGGAAGACAGGGTGCAGCAGGGCCCAGAGGGGGAAGCTGGTGCCCACAGGGAGGGGGCTGCAGTGGTGTAGCTGGACCCCTGCCCATCCTCACTCCACCGGGGAACAGCAGGACGATGAAGCAGCGAGGCCGCAGCCTGGCAGTGTGGGGCTCATCTCCTCTTCCTCCTCCCCTTGGGCCAGGCCTCAGACGCAGTATTTCCAAAAGCAGGCTGCGAGGGGCAAGAGAGAGAGAACTGTGAGCGGGGGGCTCTGGGGGTGAGCTCTTCACACCTCTCCTTCCACCTGGGGAGTGGGATTACAACCCCGGGGAGTTTGTGGAAGCTTGGGGGTCTTCACAGCAGCTGGGGCTTTAACCAGTGCCCATAGCCCTGCCATGGTGCCCCTTCTCTTCCCCCGGCGATGCGTAGGGGACGCTGTCTGGGCACCCCCATGCAGCTGTGCATGAAAGCAGGGGCAGAAGGACACCTAGGGCATGCAAGACAGGGCCTCTCTCTCCTGACACGGGTATCCCTAAGCTTGCAATTAAAGATTTTTTTTGCAAAAATCTGGTTGGTCTAATAAAAGATATCACACCCGTACCAAGGTGTCTCTAAGAACGCAAACAACCCACCCATCCCCAACCATGGGGTTTTCCAGGAGAAACAGGCTGGAGAAGACCTGAAATGATGGGATGGGAATACAAATACCCTGCCTCCAGGGCCCTATAAAGCCAACCCACCCCAGCCCCCTTCCTCTGAGCTTCTGGGAACACTGAAAGGAAGATGATAAGGGGAGAAGGAGCCAAACACTTTTGAGGGTCGCCTTATTGGCTGATTTGGAGGGGCTCTGAGCTCCCAGACGAGCCCCACAGGTCAGGCCTGTATTGGGACTTCTCTATGGTTTGGGGGCTGCTAGGTCCAGGCCAAGGTTCAGAGCACAGGTTGGCTCTGGGTGTGGTAGCAGCAGGTAAAGGGGGATTTACAGCATCTTTGTGCTTTCTGCATGCAGGACAAAACTGGAGCAGCCCGAAGGAGCAGCCTCCTCTCTTCCCCAAGCTCCTTGCACATGGATGCTAGCCCTATCCTGCTCTGGATACGGCCTCCCTACAGCTCAGGGTGTGTCACCTGCCATCACAGCAGCATGCATGGGCTGGGACAGCCCCTCGACTTTGGTCCAGACCCATTCCCACTGCTGGCTGAGTTAGTGGAGACATCACTGTGTTCAGGGGAGGAGCTGGTGAAATGTGTATTTTATCAGCACCAAAGAAACCCAGGGGCCATAGGGTCCCCTGGGTCAAGGACGTGGCTTGAAATGAATTGGGAGAGAGCCCTGGAGCCTCAGCGAAGTGGAGAGCATGCAGCCCCCCACGTGGCTCCAGCCCTCACCGAAGCAAAGACAGAGACCACTGAGGCAGGAAATCCAGGGAAAACTCCCTGCTCAGGGCTGAGCGGGGCCTGCCCCGTGCCAAGCTGCACCTGCACTGATGCCCCCGCATTGCACTGCTGGAAGGCAACAGGCAGATGCAAACCCCTGCCCCTGGATGACAAAAACCGGGGTGGGTTTCACACGGCTCTGAGTGCTTTATCCATCAGGACCCTGCACTGAGCTATTAGGTGCAGGCTGGGAGCTAAGGGGCTCTGCAAATCTCTGGTTTCTCCCCCAAAACAGTCCACACTAGGGTGTGCACTGCAGGGCCAAATGGATGTGGGACCCATCAGCAACCAGGCCAGGTCAGGGAGCAGCATGACCTGGCCCTGCCTTAGTCTGGCTGCCGTAGAGGGGAGGCAGGACACGAACCCAGACCCCAACCCCAACCCCAACCCACCACGCTTCTGCGGGTGCGATGCAGCCAGGCTCTCCAGGGTGTAGGCCATCTCAGAGCCCTTGTCCGCCAGCAGCTGCTCCTTCAGCCTCGCCAGCTGGGTGAAGCAAACACAAGCAGGAATCAGCCACCCCCTCCGTGACCAGCCATCAGTCCTCCATACCTTCCCCCATGCTTCTGCTTCTCTGTCTCTCTCCATGAGTGCAAGCCTTGCTCAGCACGGGGGGCTACCTCGACACAAGGTGCAACGGTCCCAGGGAGGTTTGCCCTGAGACTCCTGCTGTCCTGTCTCCAGCCTGAACTGGTTGTCCCACAGCAATGGCATAAATGCGGAGAAGGAGCAGCCTCTTCCCTTGGCAGGTTTCCCTCTGCTGAGCCTTCCTATCCCCTCTCTGGGCGCTGGCACTTCAGCGCAGAGGGGCTATAGAGGATTTTGCAGCTTGCTCACTATGGGCTCTTTGTTTCTTGCTGCTGGGGAGATATTTGCAACCCTGCTTTACTCCACTCTTATTCTCACCATGAGATAAGCAATGAAAAGCCACCCTGGGTGCATGAGACTGCCCCCCGATCTCCCTGCACTATCTAACCCCAAGCAGGGCTGGGCTGAGCCTGCATCCTTAGGCACGTGCTGTGGCAGAAAGCCACCTTGGTTTCTCCCCAAAAATCTCTGCCCTGTGACACTGTGATTTAAATCTCTGTGCTGTGACCATTCAATTAGGGTGGGCCCAGCACACAGGGGACCACACCCTCAGCCTGTCTCTTTAGGGAACTGGAGCTGGCTGCATTCCTGAGGGAGGGGGAAACTGCTCCCTCTGCTTACGTGACTTGCATCACTTACCTGGGTGAGGGGCATCTACCTGGGGAGCTGGAATCTGCCAGGTAACAGGTGATGCATTTCAAATTGGTTGGCTGGCAGCCAACTGGGGCTGACCTCCGCTGGCCCAGGTGAATGAGGTCACAGGGGCTATATAAGTTAGGACAGGGAAGG